CAGCTTATGGATCAATAGCTCATGGTTGACAGAATCAAAAGCTTTGCTAAAGTCAGTGTATACAACATCCGTCTGGCTCTTAGCTAAAAACCCATTCATAACGAACGATGAGAATTCAAGGAGATTTGTTGCGGTAGAGCGGCGTTTCATAAATCCATGTTGAAAAGGGGAAATTATGGACCTGCAATGATGCTGTAGCTAGGAGGTCATCAGTTTTTCCAGAAGTTTGGGGATAGCAGAGAGTTTAGAAATCCCTCTGTCATTTTCAATGTCAGATTTAGGTCCTTTTTTATAGAGAGGGAAGATGTAAGAACTTTTCCAGATATCGGGGAATCGGCATCTGTCAAGTGATAAGGAGAAAACTCTATAGAGTGGTTTGCTAAGGGCATCAGCACAGAATTTCAGGACGCAGTTGGGTATACCATCTGGACCGGGTGCAAAACTTTGCTTAAGATTTTGAAGCGCGGACAAGATGGAAGGTTCATCGACAACAGGCATGAATATGCAGTTGGCTTCATGAATATTGCCGTAAAAGTTAATGTTGGAAGAGGAAAAACAATTTGTTGTGTATGTGTCTTGGAAAAAAGTTGAAAAATGGTCAGCGATACCAGCATCTGTGTTAGCAGTAAGTCCTTTAAAAAACAACATTGAAGGAAACCCATTTGCATTTCTTTTTGAGTTAACAAAACGATAAAACTGCTTTGGGTCTTGAGAAAAGTTAAGTCTGCATCGTGTCAAGTACTCGGCATAACATTGATTGTTTAATATTAGAAACTGAGAACGGGCAACACTAAATTTGTAAAAATCAGAGTTGGTCCCAGATTTTGAAAAACGCTTATATAACCTGGACTTAACATTCTTTAATTTGGAAAGCTCTTTAGTGAACCAAGGCACACGACGCGATGGCCGTAGAGTACAAATAGGAACACAAGCATCAAGCGCAGAGTTAAGAGCTCCATAAAATATATTAATGGCTAAGTCCATATCGTTACACACATATAAATGAGACCAATCAAGCTGCGCTAAAATACAATTCAGTTTAATAAAATTAGCTTTTTTAAAGCAACGTACTCGCGTATTTTGGTTTTGAGGCAAGGTGGTGCACATTTCAGTATCAATCACTAGCTCTAATGTTGGATGGTGAAGATCTTCGGGCAGGGACAAAGGCAGTGTTCTATTTATAACCATATTTGACACATCATTTAAGAAAACAAGGTCTAGAGGTTTCATTGACGAGTTTAACACAGAATTCACTTGAAAAAGAGGTATATCAAGCATACCATCTAAAATTTGACAGGCAGAAGAAGGAGTTAGGAAATTTGAATTTTCTAATACTGACCACGAAACATCAGGTATGTTAAAATCACCAAAAAACTACCAAATAGTCTCTATCTTTAAGCATACTAGATATGCGTTGTATTGCAGAACAGTGAAGAAGGTAAGTTTCATTATCGGATGCAGGTGGGATATAAGAACAAGTGACAAATATAGAAAAATGCGCAAATATAAGCTTTACACATATAAACTCGATTGAAAACGGATTTTCAAAAGAGACAAATTCAGACGACAATAGAGAATCTACAGCGATAAGAACACCACCACCTTTGCGGTGTATACGGTCAAGTCTGAAAATAGAATATTTTTGAATAAATATTTCAGAGTTTAATACTTTGGGTTTAAGCCACGTTTCAGTTAATATAATAACATTAGCAACGAATGATGTACTGTTTGAATAAAGCCTTTGATGTTTAGTAACCAGTCCCCGTACATTTTGATAATGAAATATCAGGGAAGAGGAATGATTTAGTTTTTTGGAGAAGACAGTGCTATGGAAGAAGAATTATTATTTGCATTAATGCGTTTACGGGTAAATTCGTGAGCAACTACATGTTTTGGCCAGAAAGTAGGGTCAACGATTTTATTAAATAAATTCTCAGGAACAGAAATTTTGAAAGACGAAATGTCGCGCTTATACTTAAACTGGAATTTCGAAACCAAAACATCATCAGCTAAGCAAGAAGGTACATTTTGGCAAATGTACAGCTTGATGGCATCCTCTGAAACATCGTGCCTTAGCCGGGATACAAAAATCGACTGGCGTGGCGGGACACCAACTAAGGCCCGAGTGGTGCCAGGATCATGCTGGGCAGAAGAAGAAGTAGAAGTCGAAGTCGGGCGTCTGGGAGCAGCAGCGATGGTGGGTACAGCTGAACAGGCAGCAGTAACAGGAATAGCAGCAGCAATCACGTCGGTAGTAGCATTAGCAATTGATATGGCTGAAGAAACACCCGGAACAAGCACTTCACTATTCACAGGGGCAGCAAGTGAACGCGAAGATGAAGCGCTCTCGCCAAGAGAGACAGCGGCAGGTGTAGCAAATGCTTCAACGATAGGATTAGGGTAAGCCGGTGTAGAAGGTGAAGCACAATTTGTGTTGTTATCCGGGATTGTAAGTATGTTAGGCTGGGATATAGTCAAGTTTCATTTCTTCCTTTTTGGAGACTCGGACAGTAGCTTAAGGCCAAGAAACGTCGTTTCCAGCGCTACAAATTTTTCGTGGAAAACTTGAAACTCGGCACGAAGTTCTTTTATGCTTTTATGCGTCTGCTTCATAAACTGACGCATTTCGGTAGCAATACTACGACATCTTTCACAAAACCAGATTAAGCCGTTGTTTTTGCCTAAGTAGTCAGTTACCCGGCCAACGAACCCGGCACATTTCGCGTGACCAACGTCGTCGCACAACCAGCACTGCACTGTAGGGTCCATTGAACCAAGCTTATGGCCAAACTCACAGGACTTAAAACAGCAAGAAAACATTTTGGTCCGTTTTTAGTTTGAGCCTAAACGTATGCTATGAAAAATACAATGTTTGTTGAATGGCACTAGGAGTTGCACAAACACACGCACTCAAAGTAATTAGTAAAAATGTTTTTAGTTTATTTAAAATTTTTTGATCAAGGATAAGGGCACAGTTGGTAAAGAAAAAAATTGTTTTTGTTGTTCGTATAAAGGCGCACCGAAAAGTGAATGCACTGATGGAAAGCAACAACAAAAACTCACTTGTTCACTTCACTTAGAGGTTTAGCGTTTGTAAGCCGCAATCGATTACGTAGAGCATTCGCTGATAATCAGTCACAGATATGTGTACACTTGACAAAGTAGTATTTTGGCAAAAAGTTCAGTTTATATTTAAAAAACGCTAAAATGGCAGCACTGGTCTGCAACTAAAATATAGTCGGCAACCTCTCGTCGTGAATAGGTCGCTCGCTTCATAGTGTGCACCTTTTTACACATGTCATTATTTGAAAAGTTTAATAATTACAAAGGTTTATCATATGCTAATATTCCATTCATCGATATTAAATTTTTTTCAGAATATTAATTTGGATAGCTGATCTGGCAATATGCGGTTACGCTGTAAATACATCTTACCGCTGAATGAAGTCAATCGGCTGGACATTACGGACATTGTAAAGCAGAGAAGTCCCGGGAATAATATAGACATAATTCTGTTTTTACACGGTTTTGATGTAACACGGTTAAGATGCGATTGCCGTTATTCTAAACATGTACGATGTAGTAGACGGGATTGCCGGGGCCCAGGTTTTCGGCCTACAGGGTGCGGAGGAGGAAAAGGAGATCGAGCAGTCCTTCAGTACTAGTAAGAAATAAGAAAAGAATGCTAAAGTCGAGCAAGCTCAACTCTTAAATACCCTGTACCTCCCACCAAAAAGGAAAAAAAAAATATTTTTAAATAATTTTAAAAATTATAATAATTAAATTATTTAATTAAATTAAATACATGTTCATGAACAGTTTAAACAGCATACATTTTCATCAGAATCGTGTCTCGGCGTGTTTATATGCGTGTATGTATGCAGCACAAAGTTGAACCCAAGCAGCAACAACAACAGTTGCGAGCAGCGCTACGGGCAGCGCTACTTGTACAAGCAGAGCATGGGCAGCGCTTTTATTTATGGCTATAACTTTCTTCAGAATCGATCTATCATGATGAAACTTGGCATACAGACACATAATCACTAACGGGATGTAGCTACCTAATTTTCGAAATTCCAAGAACTACGGGAGTTATGAAAAAACACGAATTGTGGGGAGTGTATCAGAATAAAAAAATAAACTTGACCTGCCTAGGGCTTATGGGAATCTGGATACCGAGTTTGGTTATTCTAGCTCTTGTACCTTCTGATATCCTTTCGCTCATACAGACGGACGGACATGGCTATATCGACTAGTCTTGTCACCCTGATCAAGAATATATATACTTTGTGGGGTCTGTCACGCCTCCTTCTGTGTGTTACATACATTCGCACAAGACCCTTTGTAGTAGTATAAGTATGAGTATATACGTAAGCATGTGTGATATCGAATATGTAACATCGAATGATTGTGAATACCAAAGGACAGTATCAAACAGATTGGCAAACGGAGCGGACGTGTGTTTTACTTGTGGTGCAAGCCGCACCACAAATTCAGAAGTGGGATAATACTCAACAAAGCCTACAATTTTTCAGTCCAATGTGTGTGAATTTGCTTAATGCATATAAAAGTACATTTTAAACGACAAGAGTGACATATTAAATGGGGACTACAGCGCAAAGCAATTGCGTCCAGTCGTTTAAGTTCGTCCAAAAGCGGTTCCTTTAAATGATATTCAATGCACAACCAAGGAATGCCGCCGAATCGTCACCAACAGTAAACGATTCACGCGAAAACCCAAATGAGTGCGAAAGAGATAACGATGATGCCGCTGACGTTGGTGTGTATGTGTCACAGAAGGTACAGTTCGAGAGCAACAACAACAATAATGATCGCGAAAATTCTACGACAGGCGCCAACGGCCAATCTGACAACATAACAACCGTTGCAGCTCTGTACAAAAAGATTGAACTTCTAAGAAAAGAAAATGAAGCATTGAAAAAGCAAGCAGTTCGCCAAACAAGCAGATCACCAACACGTCAGGCAGTTATGTGGCAACCTCATTCGCCACCATTGGTAACGCTTCCGATGGCAACTCCGATGGCAAGACATTCGATCTCATCTATCGACGCTACAGCCTTGCCGCGCTACAACACGTAAAATATTGAATATTATCTTGTAAACTATTGTATTAAATAAAGTGTATATAATACTAATAGATGGCTCTTAAACACGCCTAGTGGTGACCCCAACTTTTGAATCATACGTAAAACTAAAACGTTTCACATTGTAGCGCATGAAACAACTTAGATACGACCTACGCTCCCTTACAAGAAAAAAACTAATTTTCCAAGGCGAACCTTCTACAAGCAACATGAGTGAGTTGGAACAGGCAATCAAGGATCATCTACGTTTGCTTCAGAGCGAAATGGACACATTACGTGCTGTTCAACAACCAAACAATGGGGCAAACCAATTTGCACCGCCACCGCAACGCTTGCAAATACAGGTACCCAAATTCACTCGTAGCAATCCACAACTTTGGTTCGCACAGGTGGAACGCGATTTTCGCCTTAACAACGTCCATGCTGATGTAGATAAATTTGACCTGGTCACAGTACAGTTAGAGGAAGACATCGCACTGGTTGTGGCTGATTTAGTAACCAACCCACCGGCTAACGACAAATTCGCTGCCGTTAAAACTCGTCTCCTGGAAAAATTCGTCGAAACGCCTGAATCTATGTTGCGTCGTTTGTTACAAGGGGGAGAGACGGCTGGCATGAAACCGTCCGGAATTTTGGCGCACGTGCGTCGGCTGGCTCCAGATCCGAAGCATGAAAATATAATCCTTACACTGTTTCTTGCAGAGATGCCGGTATCCATTCGACCGATACTCTCGGTGTGGGAAGAAACCGATCTTGACAAACTAGCCAGGATTGCTGACAAGATGTTAGAAGCTGGCGGAACAAATACTACATATTCTATGGCTGCCGCCGAGGACTCCGTTAGCGCAATCGCTTCTCCAAAATCATTCACAGATCTAAAAGAGGCTATTCGTACACTGTCAGAGAAGGTCGAGAAACTGCAAACCGATGTTACGATTAAATGGCTAAAACAATCCACAAAAAGGCAGACGAACAACCAAAGGTTTGCTTTTATCATCAGACTTTTGGCAATGATGCCCGTAAATGCCAGCCTGGCTGCTCTCAAAATCAAGCTTTAAACTAACAAAGCTGTCATCGAACGCGCTGGTAGGCGACAGAAAACAATCTTCCAGCGATATAGTCAAACCACCTACAACTCTAAAGGAAACTCGTCTACATATTTTCGACCAAGCAACACAAACTCGATTTCTGGTGGACTCGGGATTAGAGGTGTCTGTGATACCGCGATCTGCAGTCAAACAGAAGACTCAACAAAGCGATCCCCTCTTGTATGCCGCAAATCAATCCATCATTCATACTTACGGCAGACAAGTTATCCAATTAAAGCTGGGACTGCGTCGCGACTTTAGTTGGCCCTTCATCATAGCTGATATACACTGCTATAATTGGTGCGGATTTCCTTATTAATTTTCAACTCATCATCGATCTCAATAATCAGCAACTCATCGACTCAACGACTGGATTAACTACAGGCGCCCGTTTGATTAAATCTGATCAACCTGCAATCTCAACAGTACAAAGCGCTGATGACTTTCGAAATCTTCTCAAAGAATTCGTGGAGGTTACAAGACCGCCAAACTTATCTACACATACTGACTCTGAGGTCCGTCATTTCATCGAAACAACTGGTAGCCCAGTCGCTGATCGACCTCGGCGCCTCGCCGGCGAAAAACTTTTAGCTGCAAAAACAGAAGTCAATTTCCTCATCAAACAGGGAATCTGTCGACCATCAAAGAGTTGCTGGTCCAGCCCTCTGCACTTAGTAGCCAAAAAGGATGGTAGTTGGCGCGCCTGCGGGGACTACCGCAAATTAAACGCTGCTACAATTCCGAAAAGCACCTCAGCACAGTTTTGGAGATTTTGCGAAAACACGGCTTGTGTATCAACGCCAGCAAATGTCAGTTCGCAAAATCCGAGGTTCGTTTTTTAAGTTATACTACTAACGAAAACGGTATAAAGCCACCCAACGATCGCATAGAAGCAATTTTGAACTACGCCAGACCGGATACCATTTGTGAGCTAGGTCGCTTTCTTGGAATAATAAATTATTACCGCCGTTGCTTACCTCATGCGTCCCATATTCAGGCACCTCTTTCTGAGCTCACATGAGACATCAAGAAAAATGACAAACGCAAAATTACATGGACTCCTGAGTTGACAAAAGTTTTTGAGGACTGCAAGTGCAGCGTAGCGGATGCAACGCGGTTGGCGTATCCAATGACTAAGCCAATGTGGGCTTTAGTTTGTGACGCTTCTGACGTTGCCATTGGAGCTTCACTCGAGCAACAAGTCGACGACATGTGGCAGCCACTGGGTTTTTTTCTAAGAAGCTAACCAAAACGGAACAAGGCTACAGCACTTACGACCGTGAGTTGCTTGCCATTTATGAAGCAATCAAACACTTCAAACATCTTCTCGAAGCACGCGTTTTTGTCATTAAAACGGATCACAAACCATTGACCTTTGCTTTCAACCAACGACCAGAGAAGGCATCCGATAGACAGCTGAGGCAACTAGATTTCATATCACAATTTTCGGCCACAATTGTACACGTGAAAGGCGAACAAAACGCAGTTGCAGACGCACTGTCGCGACTGTGCGAAATAAAGATGCCGACCACAATTACCTTCTACAGTATAGGAGCAGCTCAAGCTTCTGACACTGAACTGAGTGAGCTACTAAAAGGATTACAGTTGAAATCAATTCGGAACGATGACAACACAACCATTTTCTGCGATGTTTCTACAGGCCACATACGTCCATACATACCCAGAAGTCTGCGTCATCAGGTGTTCATTGCTGTACATGGATTGTCACACCCTAGTGGCAGAGCAACACTTCAGCAACTACGGAAACAATATGTCTGGCCATACATGAACAAAGACGTTTTATATTGGTGTAGAAATTGTCTCCCATGTCAGAGGGCGAAAATTCACAAGCACAATTCCTTGCAGCCTCGAAAAATTGACGTTCCCGACAAGAGATTTGAGCATGTCCATATGGACATGAGGGGGAGTACTGTGGCAACCTCATTCGCCACCATTGGTAACGCTTCCGATGGCAACTCCGATGGCAAGACATTCGATCTCATCTACGACGCTACAGCCTTGCCGCGCTACAACACGTAAAATATTGAATATTATCTTGTAAACTATTGTATTAAATAAAGTGTATATAATACTAATAGATGGCTCTTACATTCGCAATAATAAAAACCGTACAGCGCCCTCTTGCGCCAACTACTGGAAACATTTTTGACTACCCAACAGAGCGCGCCACCGATCGAAACGAAACACTAAATAAATCGAATGATTGTGAATACCAAAGGACAGTATTAAACCGATTGGCAAACGGAGCGAACGTGTGTTTTACTTGTGGTGCAAACCCCACCACACCTTTGGGTACAGGCACTAACCATACAACATATAGATGCGTCATTTCATACAACGAAAACGTCCCATCAAAATTGTTAGCGACAGCTCCCATACCTGTTCGGATATTTGCCGAATGCAGTGTTGCCAACTTTTCAGAAGGAAAAAAAACTGTTTTTGACGGGAAGACAGGTGAAATAAAGCTAAAAAATATCTCAAAAAAGCGTAAAAAAAGCTGAATTTTGTTCACTAAAAAGGCTTAGCAAATTAAGTTTATAAATGTTTTTTATCATCTTGGTGATAATTTATATTTATTTATAGAAGATGTATTATATTATCTAATTCATCATATTCGTTGGAATCGTTCATATGAAATACTTGTGCCAATCATATTCAAATAAGTTGTCGGAAGTTTGTAATTGTAGCAACATTTTCCAACTATTCGCAGTCCATATCTGTAAATAAAATAAAATATTCAAGCTGCTTCTTGCTCCGACGGCCTTACAGTCACAGGAACAAAATCAATTTTGTTCTTTTGTTGAAATGCACCCATACAACTTGTGTGTTTTTTCGTAAGTGCATGGGCGCGCAAATCGCTTAGTTTTGCTGTAATCGTGCACTTGCAATAACTGCAAAACACTCTCTGATCATCCGTGTCATCTCTGCGGAGCCATGATTTAAATTCGTCGCTTTTAAGCCAAACATCTCGGCACTTTTGTTTATATTCTTTCGGCATTTAATATATTTCACTTTTCACTTTTATAAATCCTGAGAACTTTTGTAATAAAGATGGTACTTTATTTCAACTAGTGGTGTCATTGAAAAATATCGATCAAAATAATGATAAAGCTGCCACTTTAATGAAATACTGCGCACTTTTGTAATAAAGAAGTACTTTATTTCAACTAAAGCTGCCACTTTATCACATTATTTTACATAAATGTTGGTAAAATTACAAAAAGCGGAAAAAAAGCTAAATGTATTTTTAAAAAGCCAGAATTCCCGCTTTCCGCAATTTCGAATTTTTTCCTGCAATTTGATTTGAAAAACAACCAGATTTGACGGGAAAAAAGCTAAATTGGCAATACTGGTGAGCGAATTTCATTTCATTCGCAGAGGCAGTCAACAGAGACGGTCGGTTCACGCCGCTTATGCTCTTTGTATGTATGCGTGCACATATATACATGTATATGTTTATATGTATTTGTGCATTTGGTCTTTTGCTGTTTGCGAGCAGCAGCTTCAATATCGTTTTTAGATTTTACCTGCTACATGGGCATGATAATTTCATACACTGTTGCCATATTTCTGTCGCATTGTATTTTGGGATGCGAATGCAAGTGAAGTTTGTCAATAGTGTATGGGTTTCTCATAATGCCTATAAAAGCACACATACATACATACAATTACATACATATGTATGTGTGCAAATGTTGTGTTCATATTAGAGATGGGCACGGGCCGGCTATTTTCGGCCCGACACGACACGGCCACGAAATTAACTTTTAGAAACACGCACGCGCACGCACGACGAATATTTTTCTTAACACGGCCCAACACGAACTTTTTATATATTAAATATAAAAATTAAAAAAAATATATATATATATA